TTGCTGAACTTGTCATTATATTTTGTTTGTTTACATGTAAATATAACCTAAAAAAAAAAATTAAGAAATTTCGTTTGAAATATATACGGCTACAATGAGAAAAAATTATTTATATTTTATTATTTTTATATAACTTACAACAAATTATTGCAATTCCTTTATTATTTCATTATGAAACATAATTGAAAACAAATATTTTAAAAATCTAAATTATACATTCGTATATAAATAAGCAAAAACTTACCAATTTTCAAATATATTTTCAAAAAAAAAATTTCAAAAAATTTAAGTTTTATTTAAAATTTTTGTGTGTAACTTTTTTCTTTCTTTACACTTTTTCTAAAATTATTATATAGCACTTTACACTGTTTACTATATGAGAACAGCTGTCACTAGGCGCAGCCATATTTTGAAAACTTCTAAGTACACCGCTTTACCGCTAGAGGCGTCATAATCGGAGATATGTAATTTCAGATTTATTCTCATGCAGGGGGCCTATATGCTTAACAGGCAGTGAGTGCTCCTTATACTACTTCATTATTAGAACCCATGCAGAAATTTTTGTATGGGCTTTTGATAAGATTTGCCCTACTTTAGGAAAAACTTGAAAGGACCATGGAGATTTTTTTGACAATTATAATAATTCTATTTTAATCAACACTTACAACATCACTTGGATAGCTAAACTTTTGTGTTCTATTTGTGTCAAAGTTATTTTCAGTTATTTACTAATTTATTTATTATTTTCACTGCAGTAAAGGATTATTCTAAAAAATATTTCTATTAGTAAAAATATTAATAAAAAGTAAATAGACACCATGGTAATATATGAAATTGTGTCTATTTATTTTTTGTTAATATTTTGGCTAATGCAAATATTGTTTAGAATCATTCTTTACATAGATACATAACAAAAACTGGGGCAATTATTTTGAATTGGTATAATGCGCTTGCGCGTCATATTGTCAACATACGTTAAAAATGGCGAAACATATTTTCTCCTCACAGAAAAAACCTAGTCTCATTTTTGTTGCAAATGAAAATGAGCCAATGCTAAGCGTCATAGGTAGTGGCGCCAACGACATGGTTCATTTTTGTTGCACATCAAAATGAGCCGCCTACACGGCTCATTCTGAGTTCAGTTTTTTTCTGTGCTAGGAAATGCCAGACTTGTGAAAAAACTGGCAAATAACAAGATGAGTTAAGTGGCTGCAGCCGACATTGTACGTGTAAAGTGAGGTGGTTGATAGTCGAGACGAGATCAGGCATAGAGGTAAGTGTAAGCAGTATGCCATTTTCCAGACGATGAGGCGCGAAGCCCTGTTCTGCTTCTTAGCATGGGTAATCCCTGCGTTACCAACGGAACGGCCATGGGAAGCCATATTCACACATACAATCCCGGGGCTTCTCAGATTCCATATTTAATTCACGATACTCCAATGCAAGTCTAATTATCGGTCGCTCAACTCTGTTTAATAAAAAGAATACCTGAGTCAAAATTTAGTCCCTCACTTAATTCTCTATCCTATTAACGTAATAAGTAAACTTCTATTGCATTTCCTCGATAGATTCTCTTTACATTCCCTTCAGTTGCATTAAATTCAATTTTTCAACTTTTTAATCAATGTTCATATGTAACAGTATTTTTATTTAGCAAAATTTCCATCACAGAAAGAAATGGTGTGCTGAATATAAATGTATAAAAATAAGGTTAGGTTTACTGCTTGTTCCAATCAATCAATGCTGGCGTTCTTCACATACATATGAAAGATTGGCAACTCCTTATAGCTAAAACACATAAACTGCATTATTAGTACTAGCAGAAATCCTAACCTTACTTTTATGTCTGTATACATCACACCAAAATGACAATATCACTTATAATTATGTCTGTGTCACTAATATTTTTTTCAGTGCTTAAAAAATAATTTTAAACACTGATGAAAAAAATTCCTAACACCCGTATGCCAGGAATTGACTAATTTGCCTGGTTACGAGAGGGACCCACTAGGCAATCTTGGTCAAAGTTGATTTCGACAATTAGTCGGAATGACTAGGGAAGCTTATCAGAATAACCAGGTATCTTAGTTACATTGGCTAGAATTACTTTTACTAAATAAACTTTAGCAAAATTGGCTATAGATACATGTCATATTAACCAAAAATCTTAGTTAATATAACTAGGAAACAAGGGGTCAATTCTACTAAATCGACTTTGACAATATTAACCAAGCTACATAACTGAATTGACTAGGATTCTTGGTTACGCTGACTAGATTTAAAGTTGCTATGTTTAATAGTCATTAATGCGAGGCAAATTTTTTTCAGTGAATAAATAGAATCGTTTTTAATCAAAAATACCTATTCACTTAACGATATTTTTATTTTACTGAATTCAGAATTTATAATTTACTAATCTCTTATTCAACCAAATTTTCATTAAATAAAATTGTTATTTTAAAGAAAAAGAAGTTGATACGAAATAAAACATTTTTAGCACTTGTCTCACTAAGCAGATTCCATATTTTCCTTAGATGGAGGGGATAAAGAGATTGTAAATTGCATTGCAACTAAATCTCATTAAATTCTCCTAGACTCGGTTAATTTCCTCGTATACTTTTATTAGCGAAGGTCAAAGCAATATTTCCTATTTTCTTCAGCATAATAATTTGTTTCTAAAATAACTAAAATATTTTCTTTCAATGGAAAAAAATTTAATTACCTTAAATTTTCCCAAATTGCATTGCTTGAATTATTATTAAAGATTTAATCGTTAAAATATAAAATAAACGAACTAAAAATGTTCGTTTCTCGTTACAGCTCGTTTTTTGTAGTATACATGCACCAAGTTATTATGTATTTCAAGTATATGAAATCAACAGCTGAGGTTGGCCAATAGTGTATTTCGAAAAATTTACTAATTAAAACGCATCATTTAACAGTAATCACTCTTAAGAGTGCTGTTGCGGCGTGTGCGAGGGCGTGTGTTTAGTTTAAGTCGAGGTTAATAAGGTCATTTCAGCGATCATTTCCACATAATTAGCAAATTAGTACCTGTGTTATCTGCTGCGTGACGACGCAACGACTCCACTATGTGACCGACACTGAGTATAGGATCAAGGATCTACTCTACGTATTGTCATCTCAAAAAGTCGATGCAACCTGAAGCTTTAGTGAATCCATGATTTAAATCATAGCCAAAAAAAGAAGGCTCCCAATAGGAAATGCCGACACTTAAAACAGGCGCAGTACTAAGCCGATGTCCAGCTCTACTTCAGACAAGCCTTGTTTTCAAGACTGGGGTTTTATAGAATTTTCGTTCCCTCAGTGATCAGACAAGCTTTAACCAATGCGGCAACAAGTATTGGCTCAGTGTTGAAAAAATTATTTATAATACCCATTTACATGTAAATAAATAAATAATTTACTTGATTTAAATGTAAATTATAAATTAAATTTATTTGCTTTTTAATATATTTTTTTAATTTTATATTATAAACAGTATCTCAAATGCGAAAACCAACACGGTCCAATATTAGCAAAGCTTTTACTGAGCCTTGGCAGACAATATTATACCGACTCTTGTGGTGTTAAGCGCGGCTAAATATCGGCAGCAAAGTATCGGACGCCATTAGTTGTCCAGTATTGTCAAAATTAAAAAAAATTTTAATTATAAATAATTATTAGTTAATTAAAACTATAATTAATTCATTATACATTTAAAATATAAGTTCTGACAGAAAGCGCAATTTTTTAAACATTTGAAAATTTTTAACGCTCGCGGGAACCGAACTCGCAACCTAACGCATCGAATTCTAACACGCTAACCGCACTACACTACGCGGATATGGGTATCTCATCAGAAAAGTGTTTTGATAAGCTGCATTTGAGGAACACCAGGTGGAAAAGTTCCCGGTAGTTACTACCGGCAGACATTACTGGGTCAATGTTGAGCCATATTGGCAGTCTTGGCATTTCGCTCTTGGGATGTTATGTATAATTTATTTTTTTGAATTAATTTATAATATATTATTTAAACAAATTTTCTTTTTTAATATATAGGGTAAGTGTACCAATTACGGTGCGTTCATAAAAAATAACTATTATTACTATTATATTTAATATAACTGTTGCAAAATGATTTAAAAAAATTATGTCAATGTTTTTTTGATACAATTATAAAGATGCACATTTAAACAATTATTAATTTAATTATTTGAGATGAAATTTTTTCCCGCAAACTAAATAGTCAATCATTTGAAAAGTATTATACATAGAGTTTACAAATAGGTAATCATACATCTGTATTTGCTTAAATTGCAATAAATTTTGCTTGTTATCATTACAAAGCGGATTATGTTACAAGAATATTTTTTATTACATGCATTACATTACTTTTTATCTAAATTAGAAACAAAAACTAAATTTGTTATCAGAATAAAACAAAGTTATTTGTTGTATGTTAAGATAGAATTGTTTTCGCCGAAAATACGTATCATGCTTTGAAATGAGTATAAACTCTAATTTTGTAGATGGCACGCTTTCTACTGCAAACTCGTCACTCTTTACTGTGCATATAGCTAGCACAGTTTGCACATTGTCTGCACCGGCAGATACAACCACATTTGGTTGAAATATATGCGCCTATATGTGTGCGTATGCACGAGGAAGGGTGAGCAACTCGTAATGGTCACCCGTAAAATATTTATCACGGAAATTAGTCGCACGATGATGTATGTTTGCGTTCGTTTGCAAAACGCGTCGCGTTATAGTTTCGGCGGATGTACATGCAAGCTGCCTTTGTGTATTTTCGAACCCCTTCCGCTTTCCTGCATCGAATTTTGGAATATTTTCAATACCTAGAGACAATTTCAATGAGATTGATTTTAACAATACCAATATTGTACTTATAGAAATGTTTTTCATTTCTCTCGTTGCTTACTAAATGAATTGATTGTTTGCAACATTCATTAAATTTGTTTTCTTTTTGTTTGTTACAGGTAAGTCGTCATTTCACTCACCGGAACCGAAGTTAATGTCACCCAACGGTGAGTACAGCCCTGGTTTTATTTTTCATTTTTTTTCGGAAATAACCCTAGTAGAAATTTGTCCTAGCTATTTTAAAGGAACTGCCTAGTCGCGCTGGAGTCTGTCTAGTTACTTGACTGACCAGCTAGCTAAAAACTCGAATGTCATGTCACGCTTTTTTCATCAAGTTATTATCCAGCCCAACTTGATAATTATTTATCAATAGGACTTTTGAAAAACTAGTCAAATTAATTCTTTTAAATATTTCGAAATTCATTTAAGGGGGGAACACCAGTTGTAACTCAAAAAATAATGCTTTTTACAAGAATATTTTCCAAAAGAACAATGAATCTTTTTAAAGAATACTATTTATTAGTTAAAAGTACATGTAAAAAGCTGTAATTTAAAAGAAAAAAAAAATTTTTTTAACAAAAACTTTTGGAGATATGAGCCATTGAAGTGGCGCCTTAAGAAAAAAGGCGAATTGCGGTGACCAGCATTCTGCAAGTATACTTCGTCTGAAATACAAAAATGAAATTGATTTACATTTATTATAAGATTATCTAGTTCGTGATCGAAGGATTTAAAAAAAAAAAAAATTTGACAAATTGGCGACCTGTCAAAGTCAAAAGTATGATTTTCGTTTAAAAAATACGGTCGATTTTCAGCTATATAAAAAAAAGTTTTGGATAAAAAAAAAAATCCTTCGATCACGAACTAGACTTATATGTGTAAATGAAGCACACTAAATTTTAAATAAATCGGTTTAATGGTATTCGAGTAATCGTGGTCACCGACTTGGAAAATGTCATTTTGAGAAAAACGCATTCAAAGTTTCAACTTACTTTTTTTTGTTCAGGAGAAATTTTGTTTCCAAGTTACAAAGAGTCATAGATTCCTGGACCATATAATAACTCTTCCGCAGTGGTTGCCGTTTCTAAATCATAGGAAAAGGCCATGTGTCGTTAGGGTCAGGTATGGCTGGCCACCTTGTATGAAGCCACGGGACGCGCCGCTGCAGTGTTCTGTATATCTCATTTATTTTTCACCGGATCAACTTTGAAATTTACAGACACATTTCTAAATATGTATACTTTAAGAAAATGCACAAAAAAAAATTCGATTTTTCGAAAGTTACAACTGGTGTTCCCCCCTTAATAATAAGATTTAATGTAGTAAACACGTTTATTTTATGTAATTAAAAAAAATATTCCAATTATCAACAAAAATTATTATAAGAAAATATATTGCACTAAATATAGTAATTCGTTATAAAAATGTAATTTTTCATTCACAATTAAACTGGATTTAAAAAAAAAATTTACATAAGTAAAACGATTGAAGCAACATCTTGACCTGAACTGTTAACAACACTGAAACAATTATAATTTTTATATTAATATGAATGTCATAACATAAACCTTAAAACACTTCTCGCAGTTTCAACGAAAAAATCTTGGGGCTACCGGGGAGCGAACACGGGTCCGCTGGGCGGGAACGAAAGAAACGCACGCTTTACGCAACTCGGCCGTTCTGATCAGTGATATTAGAATAAATGCTTGACGTATTTCACTGTACCTAATAATATTATGAATTTGTGCATATTATTTTTATTATTTTCTAGGCAAATAAACATTTTAGATGTTTATTTGATTTTAAATGATTTACTTATAATTTAATTTAAACATTAGACAATTATAAAAAACTAATTACTAATTTTTTTTATTTATTATCCTCAAAAATTATATGTAAAATTTTATAAATAAAATTATTTTAATAAATTAATAATTATTGATATAATATAATATTATTATTATTATTATTATTATTATTATTATTATTATTATTATATTATTATAATATACTCAAACAGAAAAATAATATTCTACTATATTTGTAAAATTTGTCTGAAAATAATAATAATTGTTTAATCATTTTTTTTTTAAAACTAAAAACACTTTTTATTCAAGGTAATATTATTTTCATAATAATTTAATTTATTGCAATTATTTTATTATAATTTAATAAATTTTATTATTTTAAAAAAGCGCGCGCTATTTTGTCTTGGGCCAATCAAGTGATTTCAACTAAATATAGGTTATGTTCGTTTCTGATTCATGACAGCTGGCAAACATTTACAACAAATAATATTTTGCAAGTGTATATTTATTGCAATAAGATAAGTTATGCAAAAAATATATATGTGGAACAATAATTTACAGTGATTTTCATAAAATGAATATTGATTTAGATGCTCTGGAAAGCAAAGTTCATTTTTTCTTAAATTCAATTTTTTCGACCACCGAGATATTTCGATACATTTTCATGTGTTTTGTATGCACTGTCTTTTTTTGAGAAAGGAATATTAATATTATTATTATTAATTTTTATAAACAAGTTGTAATTTTTTTAAATCAAGCAAGCGAAATGTCAATACACAAAATCCTAGCATAGCTGTCCAGTTACTAGACTTATTGAAGCGCCACCGCCATGACAAGGATATGAATTTAATTTCGAGCAGCACTGGACAGTGCCATTAAAAAAACTGGATAGCTTTGAGTCGTGGAATTATCAAGTTCAACTTGAATTTCTTTCAAAAAGCACTGATCAGTAACTTCACAGTTATTTATCAGTTCAGCTAGAATCAGCGTCCGCGAGAAAAACTGTCAAGTAACTTGAGTCAATCTAGTGCATCCACGACAAATTTCTACTAGGGAATTGAAACCTCCTTAGATAAAGACTTCAAATAGTATTTTCGTGGTTTACAATTAGTTTACTTTACAAAGAGGGGCTCTCTTTGTTATGCTTTTTGACATTTATGAACGAGACAAATCAAGAATAGAGCAATTGGTGGTACACGGCAAGTCAGTTATAGTGGGCGGTTGTTATGCAAAAATGAGAAATGTGAGAGCATTGTACAGCACCAAGAAGTGAAGAAAAAGTATATGGACATAAAGTCGCATAAACTAACAAAAAAATTCTTTAATTGAAAGGTAAAGAAGGTTTTAATAACAAGTTCAGACCATATCAAACATAAAAAATGTCAATTGAGCGTGTCAATGCAATAATCGGACGAGCGCTCAGACGCACACTCTAATGGTAGTCAGCTAGCAGTGGGATAGCCATTGTCCCTCACTGCTACCCGACTACCATCAGAGGGAATGGGAGCCTCAATTGGTAACTTCTGTACCTATGTTTGTGACGCGCGCGATCTGAAGAAAGGGACCTTAGAAGCAAAAAATTATAGGTTACGTTTTGAAATTTTGAAGTCAAAATACACAAAGACGTTCAACTCGTAATGCATTTTACTAATGATATTTAGGTCTTCATTGTATTATGAATCTACATTTATAGACGAATATCTCGCAACTCTTTATTTCAATTTTTTTCTTTCAATTTGTATATAAACATATACGCACATTTTATGTTAATTGATGCATGACTTTCTTAATTTTTATGCTTGAAACAATGTTTTTCATTTAATCTACAGTTTTCCGTATAAATAGAAATGGAAAATGAGAACCGGAAAGAGTTGCGTCACGATAAAAGTCGATGTCTCGGAAAAGTGGTAGGTTACTCACAGAAGAAGAGAAATTGTGGGTGAGGATTGTGTAGAGGAATACAATTTGAATAAGTAAGAAAGAACGCACCGATGGTTACGAGAATCACAAGAGACATCCAACTTCTTAACTGTTTGACGCTCATCCACTTGGCTGGATACGACATTAGCATCGAGAAGTGCCAGAAGTTAACGCAGCGTGTCATTTTGATGTCTCTTTAACCGGCCGCCCTCCGTTTCCTCTTATCTCGAATATAATAACGTAAATTACGCAAAACACAGCCACCACGTTACGTCACACGGACCGACAAGTATAGTTTCAATCACAGTCCCTGCCCTAGGATAAGTTCACCACACTTTTATAATTTTCTCTTTTAATGCTGACTAATTTCTTTCACTTAGAGTCTTCGGAATTAACTTTATCTTTATCCACAAGTGACTGGACACATTTGACATCTACCGTAACCCACTGATTTAATTAATTTTCAAAAATCTTATTCCCCTTTGAAGGGAAATACCATTACCAAAGGAAAATGCACCTTCATCGGCAGATAGAGAATAACTGTGAGGGATAATCGTGAGATGAAAAATGTGGTCTATATACAAGTGTAATATATAATTGTCAAACGCTGATCCACGTGCAATTTGAAGCTGGAAATTTTACTGCAAACAAAAAGTTGCTAGAATGCATTTAAAAGTTTCTAGCACGAATCTGTTGAGTGAGTTTGGTTAAAAATCCTCATAAAGGCATGAGGGGAAACTTACGAATTGGTAGTTGGATGCAATGATGTAGCGCAGTTGTAGAGGCGTTGGTGGCGCTGGGTTTCCACAGGCGTATCGATTCCTGGAAGCGAGGCAAGGAAACCAACCTCGTACCAGCGACAATCTCTCTCTCTCTCTCTCCCCCAACCCCGAGGCCCAACACGCAGCACCAGCGGCAGTACCACCCCCACCCTGATACTGTAACGCCCAACCCGTCTCTTTCTGCTCTCAACCTTACCCCACTCCACCCTTTCAAGCTAACTTTCCAGATATGAATTAACAGAGTTACGGAGCTTCTGTAGTGCTTCTAGCTGGTTCCCCTGTTGAGTTATGCAGTTTACTGATTCAAAAATGTTATTCGAGTCTTACACTTTGATTCAGGTGGTTGGAATTTTTCAGCTCTGAAAAGTTTAAAATTGACAGATTAATTTTTATCAATTCAGTTTTTGATTTTACCATAAAACCGCATTCGTCGCTTTTTAGTTGGATAATCCAACTAAAGATTATGACTTTTTGAATAACCACCAGATACGATAAAAATTGATTTCTGTATAGAGGGGCCTTGTTTTCAAAGGACCATATATGTTGTTTAATGATATGACACTGGAGTGCAGTAGGTTAGTGCAGGCACGCTGTTGTAAGGGGGAGGTGGTACCGGACTGAAGTACAAGAGGAGGGGGTGAGGTTGAGAATAGCAAG